GGGAGAACAAGGGGTCACAAGACCAGTCAAGCAAAGCAAGCAAAAGCTCAGGGTGGATCACAAAGTCACCACGCATTCCGAGCACAAGTTCAAGGCCACAAGGCCAGTTCACATGCAAGATTATATATAGAGGTATACAAGAGTCAAGCAAGCAAGAGCAAGAGTTATATAATGCGAAGGTACAAGCAAGGTCAAGAGGAGAGCAAGTGAGGCAAGACAGGCACAAGACCCAACTGCGTGCAGCAACGCTGATGATCACAAGGCGCAAGTGCCTTGGTGAAGACATCAGCAGTGTTGGCCTCAGAGGCCACGTACGCAAGTCGCAGCTGTCCACGCTGCTGTAGCTCACGAGCAAGAAAGTAGCGAAGAGCAATGTGCTTCGTTCTGTGCTCCAGTCGCTGCTCTCGACACAAGGCCAGCATGGCCTTGTTGTCTACGTACAGGACTGGAGGAGAACGAGGCTGCTCTCCAAGGTCGGTCAGCAGGTAGGTGAGCCAGCGTAACTCCTGTGCAGCCATAGCCCCAGCGTAGATCTCAGCCTCACAACTGGAGCCGAGAACAGAAGACGAGCGGGTAGCCCGCCACGAGACAGAGCCGGAACCAAGGCTGAAGGTGTAACCCTGTGACGACCGCTGCGTAGCCTGGTCGTCAGCCCAAGAAGCGTCTGCGTGCCCAGTGAGGACCACTGGACTGCGCCCTCCAAGCACTAGCCCCATGCCCGACGTACTGCACAAGTAGCGCAAACACCCTCTTCGCTGCAGCCATGTGCTCTGGTCGGTGTCTCCCAGGAGCAACAAAGCGTGCGAGAATGCTAAGAGGGTATGCGAGGTCAGGTCGTGTGCAGGTCATCAGGTACATGAGGCAGCCAACAAGCTCTGCAAACGGGCCACTCGACTCTACGGACTCATCCGAAGGCAGAGCTGAGAGCGAGTGGCGAGTAGGCAGAGGAGTGGCCTGAGGCGAGGAGTACGTGAAGCCGAAGCGCTGAAGGACCTGCTGCACCATGTGTGACTGAGTCAGGGTAATGGTGCGGCGTGCTCTGTCCCGGGTGATCTGCAAGCCAAGGTAGCTGCGGCAGTTCACCCAGGTCAGTGCACGTGTGTCTCTTCTGCAGCTCGGACTTCACGTAGGCGAGTCCAGCAGTGTCAGCTGTGGCAAAGACCAAGTCGTCAGACGTACACGAGGATGTAGAACGGCGGCAGAGAGGTGTCGGTGCGCAGAAACAGCGACGGGTCGGCAGTGGAAGGAGCAAACCCAAGTGCCGCGAGCGTAGTCCTCAGGGTGTCGTGCCACTCACGTGGCGCCTGGCGGAGACCGTAGACTGGACGCCGGAGACTCCACTGGGTACCAGGAGGGAAAGACCCAGTGAAGCCAGGTGGGCGACGCAGCCAGATCTCCTCGTGCAGGCTGCCCTGCAAGAAAGCTGTGCTGAAGTCGAGAGAGTGCAGCTCGTAGTCACGGTGAGCAGCAACGTGCAGCAGAACCCGAAGAGTGGTCATCTTCGGGGTGGGGGAGAAGGTCTGAAAGTAGTCAACCCCCTGCCGCTGACTGAAGCCACGAGCCACGTAACGCGCCTTGAAGACAGGCGGAGAACCCGGCGGCCGCTTCACCCTGAAAATCCACATGCCACTGACGATGTTCGCCCCAGGAGGGGGAACAGCGTCAACGTAGGTGCCTGTGGACTTCCAGGAAGCCATCTCTGCATCCATAGCTGCCTGCCACTGAGAGGAGTAGGGACCCTCTATCGCCTCCGCGTAAGAGCGCGGAGTCGGGATGTCTGGTGCATCCGGGTCTCCCTCAGGGGCTAGCAGTACAGACGCGAGACGAGGTGAAGCGGCGGCCAGACACTGGAACTCCTCCTGCCTGTCCTCAAGGACGTCCGTGCCAAGGGCACACTCACCCCGACGGACGGAGGACAGGCGGACTCAGACTCAGTGACAAGACGAGCAGCGTAGTCTAGACGACAGCGCGCAGCAAAGTCGACAAGCTCAGTGACAAGGGCAGACGCAGCAGACGACTCGAAGGAGGGGTCAGTGACAGCAGTAGCCAGGAGACGCGTGACAGTAGGACTGGCAGCACGAAGAGAGTCCGACTCCGGGTCGGCAAGAGCAGGAAGAGAGGAAGCAGGAGGAGAAGGCAAAGGGGCACGCAGAGGAGCAGTGGACGGACGCCAGGGACATCCGGTGCGTGCCAGGGACAGGAGGAGGACGCTGACGCGACCCGCGACCACTAGCTGCGCTCAGTACGAACAGGCGACACAGGACGAGACGCAGGCTCACGACGCTCAGTAAGACCTCCAGTCGGACCAGCGTAGGGAGAAGGAGCAGGCAAAGGGGAGGCAGGCTGTAGCTGTGGCTGTGACCGGACAGGCTGCGGACCCTCTAAGGGAGGAGGAGGAGGTGTAAGACCAAGAACCTGCTGCAGGAGCGGAACGAAGTACGGTCGGGGCCGCGCGGCGACGCTAGAAACAGCAGGAACAGCACCAGCAGCCCCGGCAGGAGCACCCACTCCAGCAGCACCTCCAGCAGCACCACCAGAAGCTCCAGAACCTCCAGCCGCAAGCACCAGGAGCACTGTCAGTCGGACCGCCAACGGCAGGCTCAGACGCCAACACCCTCAGCAGGACCAGCTCCAGGAGAACTCTCAGACCCAGCAGCTCCAGCACCCACAGTACGAGCACCGGCGGGACGCGCAGGCAGCAGTACCCTCTGCAGCCGAAGAACCACCAGACACCAGCAGCACGCCTCCAGCGCCTGGCAAACACCTCACGCAGCTCCTGTGGGGAGAGTGGCTCCCGGCGAGACGAAGCACCCCCCAGGCACAGCACCTCCAGGCTCAGCACCCCTAGACCAGCACCCCAGGCACAGCACCCCAGGCTCAGCACCCCAGGCTCAGCACCCCCAGCGCAGCACCCCCAGGCTCAGCACCCCCAGGCACAGCACCCCCAGACTCGGCACTCAGGCTCAGCACCCCCAGGCACAGCACCCCCAGGCTCAGCACCCCCAGGCTCAGCACCCCAGACTCGGCACCTCCAGGCTCAGCACCCCCAGACTCCGCACCCCCAGGCTCAGCTCCCGCAGCAGCACCAGAGTCACCAGTGACCTCGACAGGCTCGACCGCGTCTACCTGGGACACACCTGAAGGGGCAGGACCCTGAGGGGGGAGGGGGACTACCGGGGGGGGACCTGGTACCAGAAGAGCGGGGGTGGGGGGAGGGACGGAGTGCGGTAGGGGAAGAGGCGGTAGTAGGGTACCGACTCGTCGAACGTGACGTCCTGGGAGGACAGAACACGTCGAGAGGTGGGGTGGTAAAACTGCCACCCAGGGGCGTCGGGGGGACAGCTTGTCCGCAGACAGGTCGCGAACAAACGCCCGAGATCCCCAGACCCGGAACGCCGACGCATCGCCAACCTTCCCCGTCCACAGCAGGGCTGGGGAGGTCTCCGGTCGAGAGACCCTGGGGTGGAGGTTGATCTGGTGCGCAGCGTACCTGACCGCAAACGGCCACAGAAAATGGGGAGCAGCCGCATGCATCGATGGACGTACGAGCGACGTCCATGACCATGCCAATGCGGCGCTCAGCAATCCCATTCTGCTGTGGTGAGTCCGGAAGCGTGAAGGTCTGACGGATGCCTCGCGCACGACAGTAGGCACTCAGGAGGCCAGAGGAGAACTCTCCGCCTCTGTCCGAGTGCAGACGCTAAAACAGGGAAGTCAGAGCCAAAGCTCCTCCGAAGCTGGAGACGAGCTGCGCGGATCCAGTCCATCAACACCTCAGTGACCTCACCCTTGCTGCGCAAGGGGAAGACTGTGGTGTAACGCGAGTAGTCGTCAACCACCAGCAGGAAGTAGCGCTCCTGACCCTGTCCACGGACGCGGGCTGGGCCCCACACGTCCATGTGAAGCGTCTGCAACGGGGCCTCTGTCGGAGGAAACTGGGAGGAGTGAGGGGCAGCACGCTGGCGCCCCTCGACACAGGGGACACAGGTAGGGCCAGGGCCCGGAGGAAGGGGAGGGAGAGACCGGGGAAGACCAGACACAAGGACTCGCGAGGCATGCCTCTGAGCCGAAGCAGAGAGGGGTGGCCAAGGCGGTGGTGCCAAGGAGGGTCTCGTGAGACAAACGACGACACGAGCAGGGGGCAGACTCAGGACCAGACCTGGACGCTGCAGCAAACACCTGACCAGACGAAGGGACCCTACCAGACTCAGCACCTGGAGGAGAAGCAGTGGTCAGTGTGTAGCAGGCTCGACCCTGGCCGACGTGTAAACGTAGCCAGGTGGCGACCTGTATCCGCCTCCGTGCAGTGGGTCACCCGCTGACGAGCAGGGGTGAACTGGTGGACACCCGCATCCTGGAGGTCAGCACCACTCACCAAGTTCGTCGAGAACGAGGGGAGGTAGAGACCAGTCAGGGTGCCAGAGGGGGCCGCCGGACACAGGAGGACAGTGGAGAAGCGAGACAGGACAGGCCCCCGCAGAGGGGTCAGCCAGGGACACCGCAAACCGGCCGACTCAGCGGCGTGAGAGTGGTGCGGTCCCTAAAGAAGGAGCGAGACGCTCCAGAGTCAAGGGTGAAGGTGTGAGAGGCCGAAGCCGACACAGTACCTGAGAGGGCAGACTCACCAGCACCTGAGAGCACAGACGCACTGGCACCTAGAGCAGCAGCCTCACTAGTACCTGACGCGGCAGTACCAATGCCCGGGTCGGGCGGGAAACACCGGTAACAGTCATCCTCATCACTACCAGTCACAGCATACATAGCAGAGAGAATAGCATCAAAATCAAGATCATAAATAGCTACACCAGCCCTAGACAGCTCTCCCCAGCGGGGGATCTCAGCGGCCTCCGGAAACTGCTGACGCCAGGCGTCGGTCAGGCGGCCAAAGCAGCGGCGGGCTGTGTGGGCGCCTCCACACCTCTCCCCTGCACGGTCACCTGTGCGAAGAACGTAGGGGCAGGGACCCAAGCGCACCACCACGCTGACGCTGCAAGTACCACTCACGGAGCTGCTGAGGGCCAGGGACGGTGCGAGAGCGCTGCTGCTGCTGTGGCTGCTTGCTGCGGCTGCTGCTGCTGTGCTGCTGCTGCTGCTGGCGCTGACCACCCCCAGAGCTGCTCCGCTGGGACGAGCCACTCCGACCCCCGCCTCCACCGCCACCCCCGCCTCCACCGCCACCCCCGTCTCCACCGCCACCTCCCCCACCAGGACCGTCGCCTCCCACCGCTCCCACCGCCTCCTCCGCTACCACCTCCGCCGCCACCTCCGCCTCCACGCCGCCACCAGTACCTCCACTCCCGCCACCACCCCCACCGCCACCCCCCACTCCCCCCGCCACCCCCACCGCCTCCTCCCACCGCCCCCTCTAGCTCCACCCGCTCCCTTGCCCCCTTGCCTTGCCAGAGCGGCGTCTGCCGCTGGGGCAGACGCCGCGCCGACCGACTCAAAACCAGTGAGGTCGGCCGCAGCGGCAGAGGCGACAGAGGGCAGCAGGGGGGAAGGACCACACCCCTCAAAGATAGGGGTGCGAGGGTCACCCCGAGAGGCCCCTACAGCGACAATACTCTTCTCTAGCCGCTAGCAGGGACTCCTCAAGGAGGTCGACAGTGAGAGTGGTGGGACAGACAGAGAGAAACTGGTCCCTAACGGACACGAAGGGACTCAGGAGACGGGTGACGAGAAAGTAGAGAGTGATGTACATGGGAGGAGGGTTCGCAGCGCGGAACTCAGCAGGAAGGGCAGCGCGGTAGCGGGTGTCACTAGCACGGAGGTGGGTAACGAGGTCAGCAACAGTGGGAAAGGAGGCGAGGTCAGGGAAGAGAAACGGTAGCATGAGGCGGCTAAGGGGTAGCGGAGGAAGGGGAGGAGTAGCGTGCAACTACAGCGTCGTACAAGGCCTGAGCGGTCTTGCACTGACTAAAGTGGGCACGCTCAGAGGAAGGGAGGTGGCGACGCACAGCAAGACGTGCAGCAGCATCGCGGGTCGCCCACTTGGAGCGAACGGCAGAGTCAGCATCAGCAGGTGGGGCAGGGACAGCGCCAGAGACAAGTCAAAGAGAGAACCTCATCTATCGCATCACATAGTAAGTACAGCTGCAGGTCTTCAATCCAGACGGCAAAGTCAATGGCCCTCCCCTCAGCGTCAAAAGTAAGACATTGGGGGTGGCCATGGCAGCAGCTGAAAGTCTCACCGGGCTGGGAGAGTCGGGTAGTGCAGCAGGCAGAGGAACACAGCTCAGGAACAGCAGGCACGGCTCGGGCGGCTCGGGCGGCTCGGGCGGCTCGGGCGGCCGGGCGGCTCAGGCGGCTCGGGCGCGGGGGCGGCTCGGGCGGCTCGCGCGGCTCGGGCGGCGGCGGCTCGGGCGGCTCGGGGTTGCTGGGGCGGCGCGGGCGGCTCCGCGGCTCGGGCTGCTGGCTGTAGCGGGCGGCTCGGGCGGCGCTGGTGTCGCGCGGGCGGCTCACTGGCGGCTCGCTGGGCGGCTGCACAGGCGGCTCAGGGACGGCGGCGCGGGCGGCTCAGGAGCTCACGGGCGGCTGCGCGGCGCGCTTGCGGGCGTCGGCGCTAGGAGCGGGGCGACGGGCGGGCGGCGCTCAGGCGTTCGGGCGGGCGGCCGTAAGGTGAAAGGGCGGGCGGCGCTCGGGCGATAGGGCGGCGGCCGCCGGTCCAGGCGCTCGGGCGACGTGGCGCACGGGCGCTAGGCGGGCGGCCGCCGTCAGGGCGCTAGGGCGAGCGGCGCTCGAGCGCTAGGGCGGGCGGCCGTCAGGGCTCTAGGCGGGCGGCGCTCGGGCGCTAGGGCGGGCGGCGCTCGGGCGCTAGGGCGGGCGGCGCTCGGGGGCTAGGGGCGGCGGCGCTCGGGGCGCTGGGGCGGGCGGCCGTCCAGGGCGCTAGGGCGGGCGGCCGTCAGGGCGCAGGGCGGTTGGCGCTGGGGCCGCTAAGGCGGACGGCCGTCAGGCGCTAGGGCGGGCG